TTCTGTAGTTGATAAAGTTTAGCAATCAATGTTTGAAACATCGATTACATGATTAATATTACAGGAATATTTGCAGAAAAGCTGTGATCAAATAAGCTTTCTAACATTACCAAAAATAGGGTGATAAATTTAAACACCTAGTTCGGTTGACCTCAGACTCCGTGCTTTTCTAAGCAGATGTTACAAGAATTCGTATTTGTGGTGTAGCCAAACAATTTGTTTTCAAGAAACGGTGTGCATTCAAATTCCTAGTATTCACACTGAGCAAATTCTAGGGGGTTTCCTTTCAAGACAAATAGCTAAACATGTCACAGGTTGGTCAAGAGACTGAGATTTAACAAAACCACCTTTGAACTTGAGAATGGCAAGTAAGCACTCTCTGCAACCTCTGTGGTCCAGTGCAGATGTGTCAGAAAATAATCTGCAGTGAGAAAACTTGGAAAGCTTCTTTCCAACTTGTGATGTTTGAATTCATTGCCTTTCTCAAGTCAATATAATAAATACAGGAACAGTAGGTAGGTTTGAGGAGCCTGAAGTCTGTTCTCCAGCATTCTGTTTCTAAATAAAAGGCAAAATAGCTCTTAAACTTCCACTAGGCACATTAAATGAGCTTAGACTAAAGCTGTTATTTAGCATTAGGAATAACCTATAGTATAGGCATTTTAGGGGCAAGGAGAATTAACAGAGGACTTCATTTCCTCAAGGGTTCATGTCTTCCCAATGAAAATCTCTCAGTGAAGATGAAAGATCTCAAAAAGATTTTAGATTTTAGAAGATCTGTCTCTCTATTAATAAACACAGATACTTTCTACAATCATATTTTGTATCCAGTTTGGTGACAAATGGAACAGGCTCACTTCAGAAGCTACAGTAAGTCTGCACCATGTCAGGGGGCATAGCAGTTTATCAATACATGCAGGCTTTGCGAAGCTGTACCAGTTATAAATGATCTGTCCTGCTGTTAACATTCGAAATTAAGACTTTGAGTGCATTCTGAATATCTGTGATGCCAGTGTATTTTAAACCTGCAACACTCTGTGCACGCTTTTGATTGTTTACCCAAGACTGATTTTTGCACTGATAAAGTTTTTTCTGTGGGTGTAAATTATCTGGTGTTTTTCTCACTTTCTTTGAGTTAAGAGGAAAAACCACAGGCTATATTCGTTAGTTCTTTGTATCTGTTATGGCAATTAAAAAGAAAAAGAGAAGCGAGCTGTGGTTACAGTTGGTTTGAGCTAGTTCAATCAGGTTGATTTTGAAAGTCTAATGACCTTAAAAAATATGTTACACAGAAACTAATTTAAATGGACTGCAGTTTAATATCAATTTCATATCAACAACTTCATTGTTACTAATGTATTATAAATAACACTATTAATGAGTCATGATGAATATCAAAACAGGGCATTCCTCTGGCCAAACATTTTAGGGAAACAATGATTTGAAGTGTCTTTCACTGCTCTTGGCAGTTAAATCCTTTGTGTTTTTCTCTCTGTTTATTTTACATATATAATATAGTATTTTAGTCTGTGAGATCACCAGAAGTTTATATAAATGTTTTCTCATTTAACACAAATTTCACAGCATCTGTTTTGTGTGTCGGTATTAAAGGACTTGTTGGTGACTGATTAACAGTTCAGACGTCGTGGTTTGATACTGTGCTGTTCTGAATAATTCTGAAGGCTGCGCCAAAACGGCCTCATCACAGCCTCCTCTGTGTCTCTTAAACCTTGAAGTAAACAGGAATAAATCTTCCATCACTGGTCCTGTTAATTTATTGATGACATTTATTGTTTTAGAAATGCATTTATGTCCAAACTGGATATAAATCCAGTTTCACATCCTCTGCAACCTGGAATCGCAACATTTTTAGACTGTAATGTCTGTATACTGAACATCAACAGGCACTTACATACAACTGCAGCAAATATGCAAGGTTGCTATCAGGAAAATGACAATCTTTTTTGCAGCACAGTCACTGAAATTGTGTTGTACAAGTATGACATGCAGTAGATAAATTCATTTTACTGGTTAGAATTTGTCATTTACTGCATTTGGCTCAAAGTCAAATGGCAGTAGTGTGTGTAGTGTTGTGGACTTTTATCAAAGAAGAGCCAGGAGAGGTGTTCTCATACAGTCAGTAAGGTCTTTATTCATATTGCAATATGGGAAAGAGCAATCACTGGTCTGTGCAGAGAAGTGAATGCCAATTCAAAGGCAAGCAAGGAGATCCCCTTGTTTTATATTTTTTAAGCTGATGCAACACCTCAAAATCAGGCGAAGCAGTAATTTTCCATTCCTTATAGGTTTTTGCTTTAAGCAAAGAAGAGCAGTTATTCAAATAGTTTCTCATACTCCCTTTTTCAAGCAGCAGAGATAAACATTATTAAAACATCCCGTGCCCTTGATGAGCTGGGTGCTATCACACTTTGTTCTAAGTATCCAGCTGCTTCTGCAGCACAGCTCTGTCCGTAAACAACCTTTTTAGGAAAATACACTTTTTTCTCAGAAAATTTCCATTACAGTAGCCAATGCTAGAGGCAATGCAAGTTGTAACACAGCTGACACGGGCACTGGACCAGGGTTCTAATGCCGACTTGTAGACTTCTATCCCAGTTCTCTCATCGAGTGTGGACAAGCATGTGCCTGTTCTCGTTGGTGTCATGCTGTCACATTTCAGCCCACAGATGCTCAGAGGGGCTCAGATCTGGAAAGTAGGGGATCCACAGGACATCATACCCTCACCTCACAAGAGCATTGTTTTTGCACGAGCAGGATGAGGATGTTCATTGTCCTGTTGAAATATTGATGAGCTCTGAGGACGGGATCTGTTGCCATGTGGTCACTTCAGCATCAAACCAGCTGTTGTTCTCCTGAGCGACTTTCAAATCGCTGTAAGAAATGTACTGCAGTCCACATGGGTTTCCAGTTTGTCATTGTTAATGACAATTACTCCATTGCCTGGTCCGTCCATTTTCTAACTGGGATATCCTGCACAGGGTTGCAGGGGAGTTGGAGCCTATGAATGAGAGTAAAGCCAAGGAAGGGGGAACAAAGCAGGGCACACCCTGGGTGGGAAGCCAGTCCATCACAGGACATACACAGGCACAAACATGCACACACTCGCACCAGGGCCAATTATCCTGCCACTATGTTTTTTGTTTCGTTGTGCAACTCCACTTGCGCTGGTTGATGGAGTGATTGATAACGGACAATCACCCGATTGAGAACGTTTTTACTTGATTAACGTGTTACGTACTCCTAGGATGTGTAATTATTGTGAGACGTTTTCTTTGAAATAAAGTTTATTTTGCTAGGAAAAAACAGTACGTTTTCGGACTGTTGGTGGAAACTGGAGCACCCAGAGGAAACCCAAGCAAACATGGGGAGATCATGCAAACTCCACACAGACAGCACCCCGGGAATTGAGCCCAGGGCCACTGTGGGGCAGCTAACGACTGCGCCACCTGCTACCCATTAACTGTCTTAGCTAAAGCTAGCTGGTTAAATAAAGGGTTAATAAATGCATTAATAACAGAATGTACAGAATGAGTCCCACTGAAAGGTTTCAAAATGCAGTGATATTTCATGGGTCCCAGGTGATGTCAATGGGTTGGCAGGCTTGATGCAGTTATTGTGTGCAAAGGATTTGCAACGAAATACCAAGTTTTATTTTTTTACTACAGTACTTCATTACATTCATACAACTTATTGTAATTAAATACAATTTAATAATAATAATTGCTTACACTTAGATAGCGCTTTTCTGGACACTCCACTCAAAGCGCTTTACAGGTAATGGGGACTCCCCTCCACCACCACCAATGTGCAGCCCCATCTGGATGATGCGACAGCAGCCATAGTGCACCAGAACGCTCACCACACATCAGCTATCAGTGGGGAGGAGAGCAGAGTAATGAAGCCAATTCATAGATGGGGATTATTAGGAGGCCATGACTGGTAAGGGCCAATGGCAAATTTGGTCAAGACGCCAAGGTTACACCCCTACTCTTTTCAAGAAACACCCTGGGATTTTTAATGAGCACAGAGAGTCAGGACCTCGGTTTTACATCTCATCCAAAGGACAGCACCTGTTTACAGTATAGTGTCCCTGTCACTATACTGGGGCATTAGGACCCACATGGACCACAGGGTGAGCACCTCCTGCTGGCCCCACTAACAGCTTTTCCAGCAGCAACCTTAGTTTTTCCCCAGAGGTCTCCCATCCATTTACTGACCAGGCTCACACCTGCTGAGTTTCAGTGGGCTGCCAGTTGTGAGTTGCAGAGTGATATGGCTGCTGGTTTGTTAATGAATTAACTTTATTTACCTAAAGTTAATTTGCAACAATACTTGCTGCTCATCTGGTGTGGGGGATGGAACACAAAAAGTGGCAATATTTTGTAACCACAAAGCATATATGCACAGAAGTACCGAGAAATACATTCGTATTCATCTTTTCATCTTAAATCCAAATTGCTTGAGTATAGAGCAAAAATAGATTTTGGTGCAATTCTTCTTGGAAATGAAGGCGGTGTCTCTCTCTGTGAAGGTGTTGGTCTCCAGATCTTGACAGAAATCTCCCGTCTTGTGCTTTTTTTGTTTGCCCACGATCTTGTAAATACTGTACAGTGTGATGGGGGGCCCTGTGTGTGAACCATTATGTTTTTTTGATCATAAAGAGTTGTTTCTCTTCTTAGAAATTCTGAGGCTCTGACACCTTAAGACCCACTGTCAGGTGTTCCAGCTGTAACATATTTAAAGATAAGATTGCAAGGATCACAGTTAAAGAAATCAAAATATTGACCACAAAAGCATTATACCTCAGTTGACGGTATTGTGATTGTTCACATGCCTTTCAAAAGTACACTCTCACGGAGTTCACATCACTCTTCTGAGCATGTCTTCACCCCACCAAATGGCTCATCTGGAGTGCAGTGTGTGCTCTATGGTCCAGACATCAGTGGACTAGGAAAAATAAAATAATTTCTTCAACGAAACCAGCAGTAACCAGCAGCAGTGTGCTTGACGTTTATTTTTACAAAGCGAACACAGCAAGAACCACAGGACACTCATAATGGGGTGGTTTTCTGGTCTTGTGAGTCACTCGAATCTTCCTGCAGTCGGTCGATTTCACGCCTTCCATAGTTGTTCTCCTCGTCCGCCGCAGCCGGCTCTTCTTCTCGTCTCGATTTCCCTTTGCGAAGAAAACATCTTCTCATTATGTACGAAAGGGAGAGCTGCCACAGGCTTCGGAGCTCTTTGGTTTTGAACTCCTAATTTCAGGGCATTAAAGGTGAAGACAATTTTCAGTTCACAATGATCACAGTAATTTTCAAAGCTTTTCGTTACAAAATGTCTCTCACAAGCGCACCAATGAAGCGTGGCTGAACCTCAGATTGAGTCCTAATGCCTTTATTTTCCTACACTTCACCCACCAGCTGAGAGAGCAAAGATAAGAGCTGAACTGCTAGGCCACATCACTTCAGATAGTTCAGCCACAGATGAACGGCTAACCCATCTAAGTGGTTGCACTGATTCCCCTGTTAGACCTCTGTGGATGTTCCATCAGATATACCTGTTTCTGAACTGTCACGAAAATGAAAACCTGATCCCATTTGTAAGAGAAAGTTAATTTTGTAACCGTTCACATATCAGTTTCTTAAACCCTCTCTTACTATCATGAGGTACACATAACAACAATAAAACAAGTCATTAGGTTTATAAATTACATACAACAAAATTAAAATATATAACATTCTCTTCTGTTTTTCTGTAGACTATTTTTTATT